GTAATCTGGCTCAGAGTTCAGCTCAATACAGGCAATGTATTGGTTTAGAGTTTTTAAAAAAAAAATCCAAAGAACACAGAACCATAAGAATAGGAAAGATGTGACCCCAGGAGGTCATTGATTTCCTTTACTAATCCCAGACAGATTCTGCTTTATCTAAATAATGTTTGACAGCCATTTGTCTAACCTGTTTCTAAAATAATCCAGTGATGCAGAATTCCCAGCTTCTCTCGACAGTTGTGTTTTAGCACTTAACTCTCTTGCCGTTCAGCATGTTCTTAATGTGTAGGTTAAATCTCCCTTGTGGCAACTTAAATCCATTACTTATTGTCCTGGAGAATACATTAGTGCTTTGCGCTCTTTGCCAGCCTTTTTGATGGCATCAGCTGTCATGTCAGTACTCATTTCTCCCCTTGGTCTTGTCTCAGCTAAATAAAGCTGGTACTTTCCATCTTTGTTCAGTGTTTGTTGCTCCTTTCTGGACTAGTTGATCCAGCTATAATGTTGTGCCCAGATCTGATGTAGTACTCCAGCTGAGCCACACCAAGTCACAGAGACTTCAGGTATCTTACATACAGCATGACTACATGTACCTCCTGGTACATTGTGGCTCTGTAGGCATGTGCTCCATTTTTGGTCCATTCAGCCTCAGCTCATCTTCTGTAGAACCCTTTCTATTATTCTGTCTTTCACTGTCTTGTAGCTGTGTGTCACTTTGTATTTAATGCAACTGAATTACTTACTATTTAGCTGATTTCATCACATCACTTTACATTTCATTCCCGTCCTTTAAAGTGCTTGCCATCCCTCCCAGCTTGTTATCATCTTCAAATTAAATGTGCTTTCTATTCTGACATCTAAATCATCAATAATAAATCTAACGGCTAGAGTTAGATGGATTTAAGATGGCAGAGTTGTTAATGGAAGGCTTGAACAAGTTCTTCATGGGATCCAGTTTACTTCTAAAATGATTCACCTGTTCCACTTTTATTATTTGCTTGTGGAGTAGCAATGTTCAATGTTCTGAGAATTAGCACCTCCTTAGAAGTCTCGTATCACACTTGCAGATGAGAAAGAACCATTTTGAGCTGACTAGACTGTGAGGATTGTTATTACTTCACAATGGATGTGGAACAGACCTCTGAGGTTTAGCAAGGTCGGTATTGCGTGAAGAAACAGGTGCTACTGAATGTGTGATTTGTTTTCTCAGATCTGTTTGTTAATATTAGAAACTATTTGTGAATCATTTGTCAGCCAGTTTTATTGTGGTTTAACCAATCCACAGTTCCCCTGCCTACTTACATGTGCTACTTAGACATGTATTCACAATACTTTTAAATGTAATTCTTTCACATCCTGATATTGTAATCATAAGCACAGCTGTAACCCTACAGCATTTCTTGGATGACTGAAAGGATTTTTATTTAACAAATAATGTACATAATTTCACTAAAATGCAGTTTAAAACCAGCTCATAGCACTTTGTGCTGAATAATATGAAGGTTTAGGATTTTTTTCATGGTTGTGCATGGAACAGTAAACATTTCTTCTCATGTTGACCACAACTTTGACCTGAAAGAATTTAATTTTCAGTTTGCCAAAAATATATTTTGGAAGATGTGAATCTTTCTGGCTGACTCAAATTTCTCATGTTTGCCTCCTATAAAAATGTTCTGTAAGTGCAGAACAAAAATTAAAACCAACAAAGTTTAAAAGATTTTATTTGCTATAGGGAAAGATAATATTCAGAGGGTTTTTTTTATTTCTTCATTAGGCTTTGTACCAAAATAATGAAAGACTACAAATACTGGATTTATTTTCTTTTTTAACATCCTTCTAAATATTGTAGACCATCTTAATACCAATGAAGAGCATTGAAAATATTAATGAATATATGTTTCTGAAAAGTTGTGCAACAGTAATGGCTCAGATGAAGTTTTGGTCAAACTGAAAAGTTTTTCTACTTCTAGTTCCTCTGTAGTTGTATGTTGATGGCATTAGCCTGATTTGAAATAAAATAGTAGCTACCAATTATCACAGATACTTTGCATGTAATGCTGAATTACTGGTTGTGATAATTTCTTAGAGTGAAATAAGCTACAAGAACATTGAAGTGATTTTCATTTAAGAGATTTTCAATGGCAGGTGAAAAGCGTGATATTACTGGAACAGGGGACGAGTAGATGAGACATCATTTCCTTGCAAATATTCAGTACTGAGTGCTACTGACAGTGCATAAGCAATTTGTTGTGAAACAGATTTAAACATGAAAGAAAACCAATATGAGCCTAAGAAATATGCTTAGGGAAATTTCTGTTTAGGTGGCTAAAATGATTTTGATAAATTTACTTTATCATTCCAAATAAATTAGTTTCACACCATTTGCAGTCCAATATAATTAAATCTTGGGTAACGTGTAACTGATTCTATTTGAAGAGCAAACAAAACCCAACTGTGATGCTGTAGATCAGAATATAGATGGTTTCAGGTGGAAAAATAGATTAGAGACACAGATGGCTTAAGAGATCATGTTGACACTGCACCTTTCTGAAACTCAGTGGCATGCTAGGAGTATAACCCTGTGCTTTTGCAGCTACTGAAAGATGACCAGTATGTGACACTGGATTTCTGTTAATTATGGGAAGGTACAGTCATCCATAAACCAGACAGCCTGTACCTTTATGTAGGTACCAGAAAGAGTCAGAGCAAAAGGGTCAGCTTTTTTAGTTCCTTGACATCAGCACTGTTCTCACTCTTTGCTGACGACAGTACTGTGCAAAATGCTACTATTTATTTCATAGCAGCTTTGAGCCATTTAATCCTTAATCTCTGGGTTGAGGATTTTTGTCATAAACTTTCAAAACCTAGAATAAATGTCAGATTATTTTTATATTTGGATTCTTGTGAAAATGTTTTCTCTGCATAGTCATCTCAGATTTTGACATTAAATGTGCCTTGAGCATTCAGAGACACATCCAGACTGAATTCACTTGACAGCCGGATCATAAAAAAAAGAGAATCTTGACAGTTTGCTACATAAACATGTTGATGGACTTCTGCTGATCACTATCAGCTTAATTCAGTGTACTAACCCACCTTTGTGGACTATACTCTGCAAGTCCTTTATCAGAAAATGTAACGGGGAAAAGGAAGGATACTTTTAGACAGCGTTTACAGGTTCATGTTTAAATATTCCTGAATGAAGTGCAATGAATCAATAACATGAATATATTAAAGAACATCTGTGATCATATTTGCTTACGTACATATCACTGGTATGATGCATTGTGAATTTATAAGGTTGTTATGGGAGAAGTTAAAGATGTGATGGATTTTTATTTCAGGAAGGGATAAAGGAAACAAATACTGTGGAAACTTAATTAGGTGAACGGGGTAATGCATTTTGAAAGTGGTTTTGGAAGAGTGCAGAGAAACGGGAAATGAACTGACTTATGTAAGCACAAAATTGATGGACCTACTCTGAGATTATATTAAGAAAGTGTCCTTTGGAGGCAAGTTTAGTTCTTTAGGGAATGAAAGAGACAAGTAGAAAATATCTGAAGATGTGGAGTGGGGTAGCCTGGTGATCATTTGGACTCATTGAGAAATCTCAAGAATGAGCTTTGTGTAAAGTATAAAAGATTAGTCATCATCAGTAGTTATTTAACGGTAAGACTGGGAGGCTTTAGAAGAGACAAAATGCTTCAAAGAACTAAGTGAAATGTGGGTTGGTTTGGTATAGGCAGTTTTTTAGTAAATATTTAATGAATCCATAATATCAAATGATTAATATTCTCACAAACAGATGGTTCCTTAATCTATTTGATGAAAACACAGAGTAATCTAATGTCTAGGACTTGAAGGTAGCAAAATTGAAGTAAATGCAAATAAAGAAAACACAGGTAACTGGATACCATTAATTATTGGAATTATTTACATTTGCATTATTAGCTGACCCCGTAACATACTGGATTCTATCAACTCTACCTGCCATTCTAAAGGAAGGCTACCATTAATAAACTAATCTGAGAATCCAAAGCTCTTTATACAACAAGAAAAAAATGAAAATGTCCTGGTGTTTATTCTTGGAGTTCCTGTCTTAGGAAACTAGGACTTACACCATGTATGCCAAAAGATCATCTGTGCTTGTGCAATAAATCTGACACAATAAACACCTTGAATTGCAGACACTTCTCTTGCCTGTTCAGATATCTGGAACTGGATGCTCAGAGCTGTCAGATTCTGGAAATTCTGAACACAAATGGAAAAAAAAAATCTTCCCAGTCAAAATAACTTTCAGGTAAGCTTCTTTAAAGCATTTTCTAGAAAAATAATATTTTTTTTTTTTTTTACTTGCTTCCCTATCCCACTGGGGGAGTGAGTGAGTTGCTCTGTGGCACTTAGTTGGTGGCAATAAAATGTCGTTAGGGGCACCTTAGAACAAGTTATTTTCTTTATCTGTTTTTGTTAAAAAGAATGAAGACAGCCAGTAATCAAACCATTTATCTTTGTTTCCTGTAGTGTTAGAACACTGTAGATTGTATAATTCAGTGTCAAAAAAAAAAAATAAATCTATAAGCATTTGACCTTACATTATACCACATTTAAAAAAAAAAAAAAAGAAACATGCTTAATTGAATAGTATTTCATTCTCTTGTCTTTCCACCCAATACTCATTAAAAAGCTGGATCATGCATACAGGTTTTTAAAGGTGCATTTTTAGTCTTCTGGGTATTTTAGGATGACACTCAATTTCCTGCTGGACCAAAATTCTTCTCTGGGGGAGCTCAAGAGATGAATCTTTCCCACTTGCCAGGAACTGTAAAAATCATATTCAACATGAAAGTTGAATTTATTTTTCATTTATTGTTCATTTTGAAGTTGACCAAAGTGTCAGACTCACATTCAGAAAAAAATCTTGATACAAGCCTAGTACAAAAATTCTTACCCGCAAACCTTCTCTTTGAAGACATGATTTAGATACAAGGGCTTATCTGCAGGTCAGGTCCAAAGATCACACAATTTCACTTGAAAATACGGATACAAAAAGGCTGCTCAGCCTCACTGTAAGTACTTGCATGCCAAGTATGCTACAGCAGTCTGTGAGATGATCAAATGACTTTCAGCTGCTGCTTTCTTGCAAAAGGGAATGAAGAAAAGCATCCCTTTTTCACAGTGGTGGGTGATACAAGGGACAATATGCAAATATACCTCACCTAAGTCATATTTAAAGAGGTTTTGGGTTCTTTTCATACCAGCAGGATGGGGTCATGTACACTGATCTTGCTGTGAAGTGGTGAGGGGCAAGGGCAAAACATGTGGGAATAAAACAAGATGCAATATGAATGCAAATGAAGGGAATTATAAAACTTGATCTAAATTGCCTGGTGGCCTTTCATTTTTGAATATGCTATGAGACTATGGAATAAGCCCAGCTATTGATCTGTTCATTAGCTGGCCTTAAGCAAGTTGTGCACACATTATTTATTAATTTCCACTTTCTTTTATGTTTCTAGGAATCTGGATCTTTAGAAGGAAAACTTGCTCTCCATAGTCATAGCAAAGTGGTAAGTAATCAGTATTTTGGGAAATGGAACTTTTGTGGGGCAGCTTACTTTGAACAAATTGTATCCTGAAATCTTTAAGTTTCTTTCTTCCCAGATTGAAGAACACTGATGAAATAAACAGGTACAGGGGCTGTCCAATAAAAGTGAGAAAGTGCAAAATGTAACGACTCAGGTGAACCTATTGTGCCATAAACCACAGCAGAAACATGAAGAACACAGGAGAAGAAAAATTATCTGCCTTATTTAAGCATAATTTTTCTGTGAATACTTCAAGGACTGCAAAAGACTTTAATCAGCAAAGACAAAATATCACCTCAAAAACCTAGGAAGAAATAATACCTTTGTTTTTATATAAAGTCAATTGTAAGCGTATTTGGTTATGTTTATCTCCACTCTGTCTTAGCATCAGAGCCTCTCCTGTAGCCACAGTGACCTTGATGCCTATCACAAAGTCTGCCTTGAAAAATACACAAAAAGCTTCTTCTATGATATGCATGCAGAGAAAGAAACACTGGAACAGCCATTAAGATGCTGAGCTCCTTTGTTGAGAGTGAGGAAATCAGCAACAGATGCTAATGCTAGGATGAAAGGGGAGAAGAGGCAGTAGCTGTTATATCAGAAATCTCAGACAGATAAAGCAAGCTTCTTACTGCTGTTTTGAAATGGACCACTACACCAGCTGCTCAAAGAAAGACCATTTCTGAAGGCCCTTCTCCCAGCTCTTCCTGCTCTGCATCGTTCTAGTTTCTGGGATGAAGCGTGCTGTATTGAGGCAGGTATTGCTTGGCAACCTCAAGGCTTCTTCCAGCAAGCCTTTGCCTGCTATTCTTCATGTTCCCAAACGTTCATACTACAGCTGAAGAGAGGAAAGCTGCAGATGACACTGCTTTGCAGACGCAAATTTGCAATTAGTAACATGACTTGGTTTGCAAAGTTGCAGAAGCTACACGACAGAGATGTCCACACAGGCTGCTGCATATGTCCAACTACCCGAATCAGAGCACTCAAATGTGTTTTATTCAAAATGAGAGCTATATGGTGAGAGCTGTGGCTACAGTTATTATATGTAAGTTTACAGTCCAATCTCTTCAAACAGTTTGACTTTAAAATACATCTTTTTGCTTACACAAATCTTTTATACTTTAGGCTAGTCCATTTCAAAAGTGAGTAAGATGAAATAAAGTCAATCCTAAACTACAGGAAAACTATCTGCATAGAGACTTATTTCCTGGAAACCTCTGTGAACCATAATTTTGGTAATGTTCTTATACAAAATATTTTTCACCTGCTTTTGGTCAGTGCTGCAACTTCTTAGAGCTTTTTCAACTGTGGATATCGCACAGGATTTCTAAAATTAAGACATCCTCAGAGTAAAGTATTGGAAGCCAGTTCAAACAGTAGCACATAGGGTGACATTGCCTGTGTTACATCTCATTTAATGCATGCCTGCAAATGCAGTCAGAAGGACCTTTTAAATTAAATTTTCTAATTGGGCTTAGAACCTGAAATCAACTTACCTCCACAGAAGTCAACAATTCTATAACAACAGTAGTACAGATCCCGGGAGTGGGTGAAGATGTGTAGGTGGAAACAGAACATAATTTTATTCTGCTTTCTTGGTGCTGGTAATGTCATAAACATCCTGCCATTCTGATATTATTGTGCTAATGTTAAAATATTTGGTTGATGCAAATAGGAGTTGAGATGTAATATTCTTTATATGGCATTGCCCAGAGCAAAGTAAGAACACCATGACAACAAGTAGCCTGCAAGCTGTCATGTTATTTGTGTTCAACTTGCAGAACAGCTTATAAAAAGCTATCGGCTGACAGGCATCCTGAACATCAATAGTAATTGAGACAGAAAGAATAGAAGAATAACAAATGGTGAACATGAAAAAAAAAAAAAAGTACAATAATACACCCTAGGAACAATGCTTTTCTATACACTTCAAATTCTCTTAAATGGCAGTCATTTATTAAAAAATACAACTTCTCAGATAAACCCTTTGAATGCAACCATATTAGCTTTCAGACATCACCAGCCACCCTCTAAAGAACTTAATTAATCAAAGGTGACAGAACACAAGAAACCCTTCTAACATTCCACTGAACAAAACTATCAAGCAATTATAAAAGTGACAAAGATGACTACAGGGATATGAAGAGAATTCTTTTAAATGTACATATATTACATAGAAAAAATATCTAAAGAACAACAAACTGTGAACAGGATCACAGCATTTAAGAATATTGGCCATTGGTCAGTATCTTGATAGACATACCTCTTAAACATCACAGCAGCTACTAACCTATTTTTTTTTTATTCTAAATTTATCTTTTGAGTTTAGGATTTTAGACTAGCTTATTATTGGTTTGCCAGATACAGAAGTACTAACTGACATTGAAGCAAATCACATTTTTGTATTGGTGAACTTGGTCACACAGGTCACTGCCCTGGGACAATTCAGTCCTGGGAAACAAACAATAAGCAAGAGACCACCTATTACACAGCTGGCTTAGTTTTAATGGGACTATTTGTGAGAGTAAAGTGAGTGGGATTTAAGCCTTTAATTTTTGTTTCATTTGGAATTTAAAGGATGTGAAATTGTAAACAGGTGTTTTAGAACCTGAATTTTTACACACAGCACACTACTAGCTCACTACAATTTTATGTTGTCCCCCACTGAATAGACTTTTCTAGATGTAGCAAAAAATATAATAGGTAATACAAAGCTAAAACAACCTACTGATTGGCATTTCTAGCTGTCCCAGGGCTTTCTGGGTCCCTTGACACCTTGCACTGGCGTATGTCAGGAAACACAGAGCTACACTACCACTGCTAGAGATGTAAAGCAGTATTTTAGCACTTCCTTGTGGAAAAATAAAATTTGTCAGAAAGAATGCAGGACACCATTAACTGGAAACTGCTGATTTTTTTCCATGTCACAGATCTAGTATAACTGGTTTCTTTGAGTGACACACAGGATCTAATAAATCACTTTCACAGTATACTGCACCACTTTTTTAATAGTCGGGAGCTGAAAATGCAAACTTGTATTTGGTTTCATTAATGATGTACCCTAGTAAAAGTATGAACAATTCTGCTGACAGGCCATCTGTTTGCTGTCAGCTAGGAATCAATAACATGGCCCTCTACTACATCAGGTGCATAGGAACTTCTCGAAGAATTCAGCAAGCAGTCCCTAGAAAGTAAACTGCTTAATTGTGCCTTTCTTAGCTGCCACTGTAAGAAATTAACATCTCAATTTTTCTCTAGGTGTGAAGAGAGAAAAAGAAAAAACCACCATGAACCAAAAAAACCCAAACAAATTAACAAAAACCCTCCACTGATACATTATTCATGCCAGGGAAAGAGAGAGAGGCAATGAGGGAGGAAGTAAATAGACCATCAAGAATAAGTTTCCTGGGTTTGGAGCCAGTACATATACTTTTGAAGTTCATAGTGTTGCTTCTCAGTAGTTCTTCAAAACACAAATTGCAGATCATCTTGGGAAACAGTGCTTTGAATGCCAGGGTCATGGATGTAGTTGTGATTCAGCGAGGAAAGGCAAAATTTTATTTCTTCAGTACATAGTTTTTGTCTTTAGTTAGATGAGGGTTAACAGAAGTTAATGACCCAATTGACCCAATCTGGTTTGATATCAAGAGATTAAAAAAAAAAAAAAAAGTTAAGTATGTTCAGAGAAAGGAACTGAATCCACATTGCATGGTTTTGGATAAGCGCTCTAAGCTTAAGGTTGCCACACAAAAGGATTGTCCCCTTGCCGTGAAGTTTGTGCTTCATTTTAGAAGACAAGGATCTCCTTCCAGCAGGATGTTTCTGCTGTGGGACCCTACAGGTGATGAATTCCTGAGACTCTGATTAACTTCTCACAGTGGAGAAGGGTAGCAACAGTTCATTGTTATCTACGGAAGCCAGCCTATTGCTTTTAAATGGCTTTGAAGGGACCACTTCTTCATTGTACAGCTACTCGCTGTACCTAGCATTGGGAATTAGATTCCACTCCAAGATCCAGATAGCTTAAGTCAGGTGTGAGAGCATCCATGCTTCTGTTTGGATTCAGTACTGATGAGCTGTACAGTGCCTGTAAGAGAACAGGGGCCAGAATTGGCATTCTCAGCATCCTGGGCAAGGATGGTAAGCACTGAGTCATTACACTGCAGTGCTGAACTTGTCCATGCCACAGTCATGAACTGAAACTGCCACTGCCTGTCTGGCTAATTCACAACACAACAGAGAAGTCATTTGGGCCAGCAGCACTTGGACCTCTTTAACAACTGCAAAAGACAGGCTGGTCTTTCTTTCTCCTGTCTCTCAAAAATCTTACCAGAAATAACAGCAGTTATTATCTGCCACAGGGCTATAAGCAGCTGAGTCAAACCTGCTGGCATTTGCAATATGATTGTTTATCCAATTATTGAAATTGTCAGCTGCTAGCACCTTGCTGTAATAATAAAATAATGATTTACACAAGGCTTTTTGGGGAGCATCTTTCATTCCACACCATTCTTAAGTGTGCTGTGAACCAATGCACAAGCTATATATAGGAAGTGCTTCACCCACCCATGACAGGCAGCCACCTACGGGATGAATCACTGAGCCTCCTCACAGCTCCCCTTATCAGGATCAGAACTCAGAGCAAACAAGGATGGTACAATGCTGATCCTCAGCTCGCTCATGCTTGTTTTTCTGTACACTTACCCAGGCCATGCACCAGAAGAAAGCACTTGGTAATTTTTATTTCTCGTTATCTAACTCCCAGGCTAATATCTATTCATTTATTATAAACACCTGTGTTCTTGCAAAAGAACCCCATGAAACCACAAAATGTCCCCTGTTCATATTTGGTCAGGTTATAAAGCTTCATCAACACAGCTCTAAGATCACATACATGACCTCATAATTAATATGTCTCATATCAAATTAATATAAAAATCATTAATAGCTAAGACATTTTCTATCACAGAGAAAAAAAAAAAGGTGGCAAGGCACCTCTGTCACTAGAACCATCTCCATAACCATGCCTTCATCTTCTCCCGTATCACTCCACTTAGCCTGTGAAATGTTAACAGCGTCACGCTGTAGGATTTGTCAGCTCAGGGAAGGTACTTTTTCATTGCGATTACACTTGTGTCTCAA